GGCGGGCTGGTCTCACGCGTGCGGTGCGGGGCCGCCCGTTGTTAACCCGGGGCCGATGCCAGCCCAGGCTCGCGTGTTCCGAACGCGATGCAGTCCCGCCGCGGTGCGCACCCCCCTCCGTTCTCTTAAAACGACCCATGCAACCTTCACAGTGGCCTCTGGCCGAGAGGTGCATTCAGTTCGGAACGTCCTTCCCTGGCTGCTGGGGGAAGTGGAGGGATCTTCCCACCTGCCTGCTGCACAATGTTTCTTCCCCCTTCCCTTGTCTCCCTCCTGGCTGCTGGACGATGCAGTCCCGCCGCGGTGCGCACCCCCCTCCGTTCTCTTAAAACGACCCATGCAACCTTCACAGTGGCCTCTGGCCGAGAGGTGCATTCAGTTCGGAACGTCCTTCCCTGGCTGCTGGGGGAAGTGGAGGGATCTTCCCACCTGCCTGCTGCACAATGTTTCTTCCCCCTTCCCTTGTCTCCCTCCTGGCTGCTGGAACTGGGGAGAGCTTTCAAGTCCTCTGGTTCCCCCCTAACCACATCTCAGGCAGGGGCTGAGTCTTTTTTCCAGCTATGTATAGGCAAGGACAGGATAAAACTGCACTGGTGAGGGATTGTAACAGGTTGAGGAACATAGAAGTTTTTTTTCATTAATTCTTGCAAACGAGACCTACCTTTTTGAGTGATAGAAATGTAGCCATGTTCGTCTGGTGTAGCCGAATCAAAAAACAGGACTATGTAGCACTTTAAAGACTAACAAGATGGTTTATTAGGTGATGAGCTTTCATGGGCCACACCGGGTCTAATTTTTGATTCAGCTACCTTTCTGAAGGCTTTTACAATAACTCTAGTGGTAAGCTAATCTTGCCATCAAATAGAAAAGACTACATATGCCAGGATATATGGAAAATTTTAGGAAGAGCTGCAAAACTAGTCTCTTATATTGACTTTGTATTGCTTTATGAAGACTATTTGCATACTTGCTCAGTTTCTTGATTAAGTCAAGTTGCAAAGTGTATACTACTCAAAGTACTAAAGAAAGCACACTGTGCTGAAACTTAGAACGTACCACAAACCTTAGTCTCTGTTGGGCATCCTTTGCCCAGTACTGTATATACCAGAGCAATACGTAAAGGAAAAAAGTATATGTACAAAGAAAAAACAAATGTGCCTATCCTCACTGTAACTACTACAGTGGGGAAGAGGATAGGCAACTGCAAGGGGAAAAAATCCAGTATGGAGGGGGGGAGCGAGAACACAATGGCTTTTCCAGTTGAAGCTATATGCTAAGAAAGTCCTGTTCTGCACAATATATACACAGAGCCCTACACTATGGAAAGTGGTGGGGAGAAAAGTTCATAAAGGCAATGCTCATGCTTTCATCTGTATGTTTGTTAGACTTCAGTGTCTGCTACATTTTGCATGAGTGGGCCCATCTAGACTGTCAATTCATACTTCAGCAAATGAGTAGCTCAGGTGGGGTTACATGTTTGTTTTGATTTGGAACAGTTAACTATCAGTTAGATTGTGAGGAATTTGAAGTGAGAGAGATGAAAAAAATAATTTTTAAAATGTTTTTTTGTTTTTGTTTTGTTTTGGATCTCTGCAATATGCAGCAAAAACACTGTGGAGATGCACCAGTGTTGGGTTCCATTACATCTTTTACTCCTTTGAACTTTGCCTTTTGACATTACACCAATAGTGATTTTATCCTGTCTCTACCTATAACTTTGCTGAGTACTTGCTTGGTGAAACATACTGTTTCACTTCTGCTGCTCAGAATTCACTTAATCCTTTTGCCATCAAAGCACAGGTAGTAATGCCCTTCTAGAGAAATTGGTCCTTTTGAAAACAATCTTATCTACTATGTACACCAGAAATTGATGAGCCGTTGCAAGATGGTCAGTTATTCTAATGAGTTCACTATATGCATATTGTACTGTGAACATACGTTTACTGTGTGGAAAGAGAAACTGGACAGCTTTAGAATCGGAAACAAAGCCCTCCTGTAGTGTGGCTTCAAAGATCTACCCCTTGTCAGTTACGGTGGAAAATAAGATACTATTTTTTTGCTTGCAGGAAACAAAGTGACAAGAGATTTGTCCTTGTTACTGAAAGATCTAAACTGCATCAAAGGATGCAGTTATTTTTGGAAAGGCTGAGATGGACATGATAAAATTTTCTGATGCATCCAATTTGATACACCTGATATGTCCATCAGTTGCTGCCCTAATTTGCCAAGATTTGTCAGAGACAAGTAAAAGAGGATTAAAGGAATCATTCAGAATTAGAATGTAAGAATTTAGCCCAGGTCCCTATTTGGATGGATTATGGCTAGATATGGTCTGGCAGATTATAGCTTTATCACTTCTGGATTACTGATAGTAATTTAATGTTGTGTAGCTTCGGATATGATAATTCTACAGTAAAATCTGAACTGTTTATCACCATTGGATTTTTTTAAAACTCAGGAAATCCTAATTTAATTTACTTTTTCACATCTTTGCTAATGTAAGATCAATCCTTGATCCTTTGTTTTGAGAAAATAACCCTTTTCCCCCCTGTGTCTATTTACAATGCTAAAGTCTGGGCATATTACTGAAATATGGATCAGCTGGGATATGTGAAAGGTGCTTCTGTTCAAGTTGCCAAAGATGGATTAAACAAGTTTGCTCTCCCCCAGAAGAATGCTTACGCCAGGCTTGTGCAAAAGCACCACAGCGGTCGATTCCGATCCTATTTAAATCATGTTGCACAGAAGATACAGCTGGAAGAGAGTGGCCTCAATGACTCTAGTTCCGATGTAGAACCCTCTGTGAAGAGAGGCATGACGAGAGAAGCTCTGGCAAGAAATGGCTTGAATGCACCTAGCTATTCACCAATCAAGACAGCCCAGTTGGAGCAGCTTGTGCTTGTAGGATCTGAGAAACTGAATGAAGATAAAACCCAAGGCTTTGCTAACAGATGGCCTCATAAAAGCGATCCCAGCATTGACCGAGATGGAGACCTTGAGCGAGAGGAAGATTACCAGGTAAAACAGCCTGGAGCTGAAGCGGACTTGTTAAAAGTGAGTGATGCCTTGGGTGGGAGAGGAATATCGAACAGTCTGAGGCCAGGCATTTCTCTGCTGAAATCTTCTGGGTCTGAAGAAAAGGATGAAGAGGTGGTATGGAAGAACAAACATAAGAAAAGGAACCCGTGTCCTGCCAACCTGGACAAAGCGGATGAGCACTTGACTGCTGAGCAGTTTAGTATGGATTTGCCTTCAGCCAATGCCAGGAAAACCAGTCATTTGTCCACTGGTCAAATTCAAGGTGAGCTGTTCACTGGTTTTAGCCTTCTAAAAAGCTGTATGAATAGTGCATTTGTTAATGCAAAATTCAGAGGCATTGAAAACAACAATATTTGTTAATGTCATGTGACTTTCAATTACAGAAGGCCCTGACTTGAGACCACCCGAGTTCTGACCCCCCGCACTTACAACTATTTTTGTAAGTGCGGAAAGGGCCCACCCCCCCATCCCACTTATGTCCTTGGCCTAAGGATGTTAAAATGCAGTTAAGTGACTAGTACGTGTCAAAGGAGGAATGCGGAACACCCTATACAGCCCAGGGCCAGCAGGAAGTCCTGCTGACTCCCGGTTGCAGGCCGGTGCCTTCTTTGAAATGCACAAGGAGTCTTTGAAATGCACTCTCATCATAGCAAAGCCATGGAGCCTGGGATCCGGGGTCAGCTGGGGAATCCCCAGCTTATCCTGGGCTCCCCGCAGCATTTCCCCGGAACCCGGGGTCAGCAAATGCTTATCAGATAGTCGACTAGTCTTTAACAAACTTACATCCACCCGCATTTATGATGGTGCACAGCGCCTATTGTAAATGAGGGTTCGAGTTACGATGCTCCCAACTTGCGACGCTTCCCCTGGAACCAGTCACATTGCAAGTTGGGGGCTTTCTGTACTGAGCTTGTCTTGCTCCCATTGAAGTTGCTTGTTGTTTTGACAATGCCAACAAAGGGAGTACAGTTGGGCCAATATGGGGACTGTATCTCTTCAACTACCACATATGGAAAGTAGGGCAAGAAAATAAATCAGCCTCTGTTAGGTGAAATAAAAAATACCTCTTGACCACTAGCTCACTGTCAGGCATTTTTGATTTCCCCTCTTGGTGTAGATGGGTTTGATTTTTTTCTATTGTGTAGTATTTACGGTGAAACATTTGGCTAGTCTGTGCCAAAGGGCACTCTGTTGCAGGTGATGATATATGTCACTACATTAAGTTTACTGCAATAAACAGAGAAGAGAGATCAACTTTTCAGTGTGCTAAGTGGGAGTAGTGCTTATCACAGCCACAGAGTAGGAATCTAATAATGTATAACATTTCCAAAACTTGCAAAACTGTACCTCATCACTGAACCAGGGCAAAGAATATCAGTTTACACTGATTCCCATAATTGAGAGGCAGGGCCCACAGATCCGGTGCCTGGGATAATTATCTTCATGAGATTTTCGAAGTTGACTCATGTGATTATGCAAACTGTGTTTAACAGGTCCAGTTCTCTAACAGATACTTAAATTAAATGCACCTTTGCTTTTATGCAATATTTTGGCATGAGGTACACAAAACACTTTTGTGTTTTTTGCACCAGTCTGCTCAAACAGTCCACTTTTCTATTGTGTTCTTTGATATGGGCTGGCAGCTTTTGAAAAAACTTGGACGTTTACTTCAGGAGCTTCATGTTGTTGTTATGAAACAGTCTATGCACCAAGCAGATGTTAAATAGCTTTCGTTGTATTGACACCATATAGACTTAATGCTTCTGTTCTGCATGAAACTTATGTTTCAGGTGACCAGATGTCCCATTTTTAAAGGGACAGTCCCATGTTTAAGTTCTCCTGCAGATGTCCTGGCTTTTTCTTAAAAGAAGGCAAATTATCCCATATTTTTGTCTCCCCCCTCATCAGTACTGGGTTGGTCCTACCGTGGCCAGATCCCTGCTTGCCAGCCACTTGCCCATCCATGGTGGGTGGGGGAGGGACCAATGGCTGACAATAGGAGTAGCTGTGCAAGGCTGCTGGCAGGACTAAGATGTAGCATGCGGGGCCCGCAGCTCCCCCTGCCAATCCGTCAGTGCAGCCCCCCGCTGCATGCCAGCTCTTGGCCAGCAGGACCCAGTCTCCTGTCTTGTCTCTGAGCAGCATTGGCTCTGTGCTGCAAGCTGCAGTGATGAGTGTGTGTAGACAGGTGCCAGGTTGCAGCCGGCTGCATGTCATTTCTGCTGTTCACCCATCAGCCCTTCGAGTGCTCCCTCTTTTACTGTCCTCTCCCTGCTTTGCTCCTTTGAACTCTGCTGCTTCTCCATATCCCCCCCACCGGGGTGCATCCCACTTCCAGCACTGGGTGGAGAATCAGGCCCTGGTCAGAATGTTTGGCTCACCAACAGGTTGCTTCTTCCCCTCACTGTCTCTGGCAAAGCACCACACACAGCTGCTATGGGGAAGGCCTCTCCACCATCAGCTAGGCTCTGGTGTTCTGCTAGGAAAGCGATTTCCAGTCTGTTCATGTCCTGAACCTGCAGGCTCCACAGCCGCCTCCTTTTCCTTCCCCTGCCTGTCCTGCCCCCTGTAAATGGGGCTGGTCTGCCGCCTAAGCACTCTCCTTTGCTAAGCCTCCTTTCTGGCCAGGGTAGCCAGTTTACCTGGGCCTTGGTGCACAAAGTATCCTTAAGGTTTAACCAGTTCCTGCTTGCACTGTCGCCAGGGAACTGGAGGTTGCTGGGTTATGTTGGTGGCCAGCAGCCCGGTGGTGGTAGCTGCTTTTTACACACTGTGGTCTGGCAAGGACAAGCTGCTTCCACCACTGGGGAGCGCGGAAAGATAAGGGATAAACTATGCGAAGACACCAGCCTGGTCATCCCCTCCCCCCCCCTCCCACTTGCATCTGGAAGCAGCTCTTGTCCCTTCCCTCTCGCACAGAGTGACCCTGGCAGAAATCTGTGGTGGTGGGAAGGAGAATGTTACCCTGTGACCCCCTGCCCCTCCCCACATGTTGCCCAAGGAAGATGTGGTGCCAGGTACCAGGAGAGGCTAGTCTGTCCCCTGGCAGGGAGAATCAGGTCCGTTGGTTCCAGTCCAGTTCCAGTTGGAGTGTGTGTTTATGACCTCTCCCTGCGTGTGTATGGGGAATATGGGGAGTGTGTGTCATCCCTCCCCATGTGAACCCTGAAGCCTTAACAAGAAGGTAAAAAGAACTCATCTGCACAGTATTTCTTTTTAACAGGGGATCAGTCAACTTGGCATTAATTTAAATGTCAGTTCTGACTGACTACCGTTGAACTTGCTTGAAAGCGAGTCGTTTAATCCCGTATTCAGAGTAGGGAAACACGGTCACCCTGCTTACTTTGGAGATCCTTGAATGGCTTGCATTGTCAAGATGTATATTGTATGCTAGAGGTTCATTAGTAAGCATTCTAAGATGTTCAGTTCTGCTACACTGCAAGATATCTGATCCTTCCGTCTATGTAAAGGAGAAGTGTGAAACTTCCCAGACACGTTGCTTGCTTTTTTGCTGCAAAACAAAGATTTTAAAACAATTTATTGTAAACATTTTCAGACTGATTACAATCCTTATTGCTCCCTTGCAAAGCTAGCAGCACATGATGTAGCCAAAATGTAAAGATCCCGTGTGCTGCTTATAAGCACAACAATGAAGGCACCTCTGTCTTGGAACTCCAGTGACCTGGGAAGAGCTCCTCATGTACATTCACCTCTGTCCCACATGTCGTACTGGTTATATTGTGATCTGACTTCTGCTTCACTCCGACCTAGGCTCCCATTAAAAAGATGAAAAACTCTTTCTAGAACAAGCCTCTCCTACCTAGCTAGGCTTAAGCGTGTTCCGATTGAAGAGCTGCCTGGATAAGCCAAGTTTCAATAAGCATCTGCCCTTCAGTATTCCCCATCCCACCCAAAGCCAGACTTAGCCTCTTTGAGGCTCTGTTGGAGCAACAGGATTGTCTCTTGGGCGGAGATAAACAAAAAGACTCGTCTTTGAATTTGGCACTGAGTCCTAGTGTAACAGGCTTTGCTGAGAAACTATACAGAAATCTATCCTATAATGTATAACCAGAATAAATGTTTCTCATAGTTTTTGCTGTTTTTTCTGCTTCCCAAAGGAGCACTGTTATAATGAAAAACAACTAATGAAGGGATGCTTTTAAAATACAGGCAGTCCCCGACTTACGCGGATCCGACTTATGTCGGATCCGCAGTTACGAACGGGGCTGCCCCGGAGTACACGGACTGCGGGACTTCGCGGTCCTGCCGCCCGTGTACTCCGGGGCTTTCTCTGCGTCTCCCTGGTCTGTAGACCAGGAAGATGCGGAGCAAAGCCGCGGCGGGGCTTGGGCAGCGGGGCAGC